AGATAGATAGATAGATAGATAGATAGATAGATAGATAGATAGATAGACAGACAGACAGACATATACATACACACATATTCATACATGTATTTCTACATAATTTATTGTCATTGCACCTCGTACAATGAAATTAAATGCCATATTCAGTGTACATTATAGCTATACAAATAAAACAGAAGCACACATAGAAATTACTGACAAATTTGTGGAATTAATATATAGGTCCCATTCTTGAAGGAGATGATGTTTTAGGAATTCAAAACTGGGACAATTTTAAAATGTTATTTAAAGCCTTATACATTTAAATGTTATTTAAAATGTTATACATTTAAATGTTACTTAAAAGTTGGCCTCATACATTTCTGAGTGAATTTGTTGTGGTATGTGGCATGACATTTAAAGTTTAGATTTTTTTGGTTCTTAAGAAAAATAGACCATACCAGAAAAGTGGCATATTCTATTATAAAATGGTAGGTATGATATATCTATAATACGAATTAAGAAAAAGTGACTTCCCAAAATAGGGAAATGTCATTTGTTTTCAATCACAGACATAAAAGAACAGAAGAAATGAATGATATAAGTACTAGCTCTGTGGCTACATTGGTTAAAAACTACCATTTTTCAGACTATAAGGGAGTGCCTCTGCTTTCTGACAAATTTTAGAACAGATAACATTTTTATATTTAGGGGATAATTACTAGGTTAAATAAAAGTGATTTCTTGTTTCTTAGGCAAAATAAAGTTATGTGAAAATTTGTGAAAAACATTTCACAGAAATAAAGGCTTAGTGAAAAATATTTTTCTAATAACTCAGTGAGGATGCTATGTCACATTTCAAGGAAACTTTGTGCCTTGTAATTCATTAGCATAGAGTGCATGTCTTACATTTAGCACTGTGTTGGAGGCCAAAAAATTACAATCTTTTTTTGCATTCATCTGTAAAACAAGCAATGCATAATTACTGTATGTTTTTCTTTTGATCCAGTTTACAGTAGTTTCAACACCTTGCTGATATTTAATTTGCTAATTATTCTGGATTGAAAAATTGAGATATTGTTTAGTATTGAGAAACTTTTTCAAAATCGGGAACAAAAGTCATGCTTGCTTGCTTGCTTAATTAACTAATGCCCACAGATGACTCTAGTGGCTTACAAACATTAAAACCACACACTAAAATAATAATAATAAATAATAAAGCATTAAATAACAACAGGAATAAATACTGTTAAAAGTTGAGGAGAGGAACACAAAATACACAAACATATGAACATATATTAATGTTTCCTGCTTATGTATTTTAGGGAGAGGAACACAAAATACACAAACATATGAACATATATTAATGTTTCCTGCTTATGTATTTTAGGTAGAAATTGATGCAGTTCTGAGTGACCTGGAGGCAGGAGACTTTGCAGAATTGGTAAAAACTTTATTTTTAATTAGATGTTTTGTGTATTTATGTCAGCTCTTCATCTATTTAGTAGAGAAATTAATTGCTGATTTCAGTGATATGCCAGTTATTCATGTAAGAGCCAGAATTGGGATGTCATCACTGTGGCTCATCAAAGCTACAATGGAGACTCTGCTATCATTGTTCTCCTCTTTTTCATTACTCTTGCTTTGGTCATGGGATTCAAAGGGAGAGTATGAATTAAGCGTAAGAGGACCACACGGAAGAAAATCTCATCTTTCTCATGAATCCAAATTTCACGTAGTTGTTGTTCCTTCTTGCTATTTCCTGAGAAAGCAAGGAGTACAAAAATGGGCATAATATCCTTCTCATGGCTCTGCTCCAGGTTTTTCACAACCATTTCCTGTCTCCATTTTGGTGAAATCTGAGTGAAAGTGGTTCAGATAATGAATTTCTTCCAGGATCTTCTGCAGCTGAAGCCCAACTAAACTGGGAAGGTTGGAGACCAAACAGAAATTCTCCAAAATCATTGGGTTTAGCAATCGCTTCTTAAGGAAGAGTCACACTATAGCCTTCTTGAAGGCTGTTTGATAATGCCTTTCTTCAAAAAAGTAGATGTTACCACATGGACCCAGAGACAGGACCTGGAACTTATAAACAGGTGGCTGAGCTCACAATCCTGAAGTGCATTCTATTTCTTTGAGTTTTTTCACAAACATAAATGTTTCCCGATAACCATACCAGATTCTGTCCTAGTCATCTTCACTTGTATTTGTTCAGTTGGTGTCTTCTCTGGAATATACTGCATAATATTCTGTGTCAAATTATATATCCTGCTGGTCAAGTAAATAAGGAAAAATTAGAAATATTCTATTCCATTTTTAAAATATTCTAAAACTACACATTGGATCAGCTAAAAACCAAAATTCATTGTTTTTCTTTTTATAGTCTGAAAATTACTATGATATGAGACGACAGTATACAATTTTAGGCTCATGTCTCTTCTACAAGGTAAACTTTTGCAAACTTGACTGCTTTCCAGTAAATTGATTATATTCAAACAACAAAACCAACTTTAAAAGAACCATATATAAGGTGTTAATCGACAAAACATGATTTATAAGTCACAATAACTATACTAAGGCATAAGGTGAGTTTGGGTGGTTTGTCGTATTCTATGTATATACTGTCAAACCTATTGCCTTTCTGAGATATCTCTACAGAAGAATAGTTTTTAGTTTGTATAGCTCAATTCATCTGAAGATGGTAGTTAGTTATACATTAGGATCAAATAAATTTATCAACATTAGTAGTCAACATTATCAGAAAAAATGACAATGCTTAATTTATTTTTTTATGACTCAATTGGTTTGGATTGAGTTTTGTGATAATATGTAGTACTTGTTTTTTTTTTTTTAAACAAACTAATGTAAAGTTTACAACATAAGTCGTTCTTAAAAAAAAGTGCATGGCTGTGTAATAATATATTGTCTGTGTTTTTATTTTAGGGATATTTAATTAGTAATCACTTGCCGAAGGAGGACCTTATTGATATTGCATCATACAGCAGGCATTATTGCTTTTTGTCCTTAGCAGCAGAACAGCGAATTGGTCAGTTAGTAATATGGCGAGAAGTATTTCCACAACATCATCTTCAGGGTTCTCAAATTTCATATGAGGGATTCCAAGAACCCCTAGCAAGATATTTCTTACTCATTGTTGGCTTGGTAGGTTTTGTAGCATGAACATTGCTTTCTGTGGTCTTTGCTATTCCTACTTGATGCAGTGCAGCTTGTACTGAGAATATGGTAAATTTCCATCTAGGTTATCCCGTGTCAAGCTTTCAAGTGTCTACATAATGCTATGCAAAGTATTTCAAAAGGATGCAGAGAATTTCAAAGGCAAGCAGAGTACCATTTCTAAGTCATTAAGGCATGTATGTCCTCTAGAAGACTCACTTACAGCTTCTCTGATGGCTCCTCCATAAGCACATGCAGAGACAACTTTTTACTTTGCCTATGAGTGAACTAGCTTTGCATGTACAAGTAATCTTACTTAATGATCACAATTGGGACTGACAACTCCATGGCTAAGTGAAATGGGCATTAAGTGAGAGATCCCGTAACCACAACTTGCAATTTTACTGCCAGTTACTCCATTAACCCTTCTTTTGGAAGCTGGCTGTAAACTATGCAAATGGCGATCATGTGACCCTGGGAGGCTGTGATGCTCATAAATGCCTGCGGAAGAAAATTACAAAGTGGCTAAATATTGGTCTTGTAACTGCAGAGATGTTGCAGCGGTCATAAGCACAAGGGCCAGTAGCAAAGTTACTTTTTCAGCATTGTCGTAACTTTGGGTGATCACTAAAAAGGAGAGTTATTAAACAAGGACTACATCTACATAGAACATTCCAGAACTGGAGTAAGCCTTTAAAGTAAATGTAACTACTTTAATACTTCAGGGAGAGATTCTTTGTTCGTACCAGGACATGTTCGTACCAGGACTTCGTACAATGGTAGTAAAAATTAGAATTTCTTGTCTATTCATGTTGCTTCAAGCATCTAGGTTGTTCTTGTTTAGTGACTGCTTCATTTAGCAACTATTCACAGTTATGGTGATGTTAAAATAATACTGTGTCCAACTCTTGCATAACCTTTGTAGGACTATAAAGCAAAGGGAAGCTGAAGTAAAACAAAAGCACAATCGTAGTTTCATTTAGCAACTGCTTTGCATAACAATCAAGTTGCTGGTCCTTATGGTCACTTAATATGTATAATAAATACCTGCATAAGGTTGACAAGGGAGCAGTTATCAGCTATTCCCATGAGCACAAATGTATTTCATATTCTAGTACAAAAGTAAAAGTATATTTATATAGTTTATTTATATTTATAAGTGTATAGTTATAAGACCATTTCATTTGTCTTCAGATTACTAAACTGAGTAAACTTTTTACTGAAAGAGTTCTTTTACCCCCAAACTTTTTTTTTAATTTTCTTTTTCTCAAGTGTTTTCTTGAGTGCTGATTTTTAGTTTTAGAGTTTACTTATTTTATGTAACCTATTATGTTCAATGGATCTCTGATAAGTAATATATATACTGTGTGTGTATGTATGTGTATGTTTATAATGTATGCATGTACATGTACATATGCATGTATATGTGTATGTATGCATGCAAGTATGCATGTAAAATAAATGCACTGGCAGAAATAGGTTTTTTTCCTTTCTTTTTTCCAGAAGCATTTTATACTGAGCGTATTGCTGGAAGCAGGAGGTTGTTCTTCCAAAGCTATTGGAAATCCTGGACCAGATTGCATATATGTTGACCAGGTGAAATCAACCATCCTTCAGCTGGATGGAATAGATCTTAGCATAGATGAGAGATTAGAAACTGCTTCTGCTCCATTGGTGTGTTGCGTAGATTGGTTCTTCCCTTCATCGTCTGACAAATTGGAGAGCTTTTCTAATTTGTCTGTTCTCAGCAAACTGCCTCATATGTCAATTACTACATCTTCTCCAGCAAACAAGAAAGTGAGTTCTGATAACTCTGTTTTAAGGACACATAGGTTAATTCCAGGGATGGGATTCAAAAATCCCAGCAACCAGTTTGCTACCTAGTTGCTGGGTGGGTGTGGCCATGGTGGGCATGGCCTACCAGAACTTCTGGGAGGACCATTTTTCGCCTTCCCAAGGTTCCAGAGGCTTCCCTTGGGCCTCTGGGAGGACAAAAATGGCTTCCCCCTGGCACTGGAGGCCTTCCAGAAGTGGAAACAGGCCTGTTTCCGGACTTCCAGAAGGCTCATTTTTCCGCCTCCCAGAGCTGCACAGGCCCTGAACTTACCTGCATCGAAAATGGGCCATGTGGAGTCTCCTGGGAGGGGAGGGGTGAACGGGACCATCCGGTTGGTTCAAATATCAGTTCGGCAAACCAGATGCAAAATTAACATCTGGTTTGCCTGAAAAGGTCCAAACCAGTAGAATCCCCACCCCTGGTTAATTCTCTTGAGGAATAGTCAGTATCCTGTTAATAGTTATGACGCTCCTGAAGGAAGAGATGGAATTCAATTCATATACCAAATACAAATGAAAAGTCTGAATGGATTTATTTCTTATTAAAACAATGATCTGTTTAAGGTCCTGCTGTATTTAATAACGTCCATAAGTAATGTAAATTTCTGTATTTATAAAAAAGTTGCTGGGATACTTAATAAGTAGGAGAAAATTGTTCATGCCCATGATGTATTTTTTTCAGTATTTTTCTATTTCATTATATAGAATTCCGCACTTATATGTACAACCTAGAGCAAATATGACTTGTCAAAAATTAATGTGTAGGAGATAGTACCAATATATATACACAGCTACATCAAATACTTTTATATTACTGTAATTCTTTTTCTAGAATGAACTGACTATGACCATTGCAAAATTGGGCCATTATTTATTGCCATTTCTTTCTGTATTTAAGTCAGTTCCTATTGTGGACCTTTCTCCCACAAGAATTAACTTTTTTTATACCAAACTTAAGAACTAAATAAAAGTTGAATGCGCTCAGCATAATTTATTATTCATACAGTTTAAGACTTTGGATGAAATCTGTATATTTCTCAAATACAAATCATTTAATAAATAACAGCTCTGTTCAAGTGTTAGTTCTGTAAAAATGTATTTCAATAAAAACATCACTTTTTCCTAGCTAGCATGATATGTCCACTAATACAACAACTCAGCATTGTTTACAAAGCATACATATTGCTTTAACAGCTTAATACATTTTGAAAACACAATCATTTGCCATCTGAATTCTGAGGCTTGCTTACTCTCTTACTATGAGGCTCTTCTTTTTTGTTTCCCAGATCACTAAAACGAAGCCTGCTCTTCCAAATGCATTTACATTTGGAACCCTGAAAAAGAATGTCGCAGATAAGGAAGCTGAATTAAATAATGCTATGAAGTAAGTTTTTTACTTATAGTTTTTATAAAAACTCTTTTCTGAATACATTTTTTCCTAGACAATGTGCAGATGGACACATTAAAATGTTTCATTGCTGATTTTTTAAAAATATTTTTTTTAAAAAATGATTTTCAAAAAAGGGATTATTTTTGAATGGATAGATAATTATTGAAATTACACAATTAATGTTCAACATAATGTTAATAAACTTACAAAGAATATATTAAGCTTTGTCATGATATACAAGTAATCCTCAACTTACAGCCATTCTTTTATTAACCATTCGGTGTTATAACAACACTAAAAAAGTGACTTATGATCATTTTTCACAGTTACTACCATTCAGCATCCCCCCACGATCATGTGATCAAAATTCAGATGCTTGGTAATTGGTTCATATTTACGATGGTAGAGTCAGGTCATCAGCTTTTGCGATTTTCTGACAAGCAAAATCAATGGGGAAGCCAGATTCATTTAACAACCGTATTATTAACTTAACATCTGTAGTGATTCAATTAACAACTGTGGCAAGAAAGGTTGTAAAATGGGGAAAAACTCATTTAACAACCGTCTCAGGAACAGAAATTTTGGGCTCAATTGTGGTCGTAAAACCAGGACTATCCGTATGTAGTCCAAGACTACATGTATAAATGTGAAAGATACCATGTTTTTCCAACAATACGGCCCACCCCAAAACAAAGGCCCAGCACTGTTTTGTGCACATGCAGTTAAATTAAGGGCTGCCTCCAAAATTTGGGCCTATTTAAGTACATGCTCAGCCATTTACAACATGAGGTGAGGGATGGGGGGGGAAGGGCGGAGGGGGGAAAGCTTGCGCAACTCATCCCACGCGACTCGCCTGTCCATCGGATCGCACTCCCTTGCTTCTGTAACACCACTTCTTTTTGATCCCTGCTTTCTCTGCCACAGTCATCACTCATCAAAAGCTCCACACCACCCCGCTTTCTTTCTCACACACAAGAAAAGCAAGCAAGAAAAAGAAAGGGAGAAGGGGGGAGGCACTTTTGAACACATCCAGGATTTTTCATGTTGTCATGATCAGCCCCTGCCATGGGTGTGTTTGTGTGTGTGTGTGTGTGTGTGTGTGTGTGTGTGTGTGTATGAAGGGGTGTTTCTGGCAGAGATTAGGGAAAGGGGGTGGATTGGGAGAAATTTTTCCCATGAGAATGGGGAAAACAATGCTTGTAGGGTGTGATTTATCCAGACAGCCCTCTTCTGTTATCTCTGATTACAGCTTCCAGAGTTTTCTCAGTTTCCAAATACACACACACAGGCGGGGGGGCCCTTCTATCCATGCAGTGTCTCTGTATGAATCGTTGTTATTCTGCCTCGTTCTTAGCATTGGAGCACCTTTTCTTTAGAGAGATTGGGGGAGGGGAGGATCCATTGGAATCACTGGGTATTTGCAAACCCGAATTGGTTAGCTTTTCAGTAAGTTGCACGAGCTGCTATTTCTTCTCACCCTTTTTTCCTCCAAGGACAGCGATAACAGGAGAGAGCAGCCTGGATAAATCACATCCTACAAGCATTGCGTTCCACATTCTCTTACAATCCACCCCCTTTTTTCCTTAATCTCTGCCAGAAACACCCCTCCCTACACACACACACACACACACACACACACACACACACACACACGGCAGGGGCTGATCATGACAACATGAAAAGTCCTGGAGTGTTCAAAAGTGCCTCCCCCCTTCTCCCTATCTTTTTCTTGCTTTCTTGTGTGTGAGAAAGAAAGGGGAGAGGTGGCGGGGGGGCTTTGGATGAGCGACAATTGTGGCAGGGAAATCAGGGATCAAAAGAAGCGCCGTGGTGGCCAGGCTTGCCAGAGTGGACAATGGCAGGCTACAGGTAGGCAAGCAACGGTGCGCGTGAGGCACTCCTTACGGCCACTAAAGAAATGGCCCGGTGGAGAGACAAGGATGCGTGTGGGGGGGGGGAAATTAAGGCATCCCTCAAAAAGATGGCCTAGCCATTTTTTCAGGGTCTGAAAAAAAATAAGGCCGAGCCTTATTTTCTGAGAAACATGGTAGATAGATAGAATGTTTGAGCTTAATGATAAAAACTCCATTTTATTATTTATAAATGTAAATTGTATGTGTGTGTTTGTGGTGTGTGTGTGTGTATATGTGTGTGTGTGTGTGTGTTTATAAATATTATAGATGTTATAAATGTTAAAAGAAGAAAAGAAAAATAACAGTGTTGCCTAATTTAGAATAAATCTGTAAACCATTCTTACTTAATTTTATAAGAAGCTTAGCTAAGAATGGCTTTCATATTACCAGATTTTGCCATTGCTGCATATTGTTTAAGTTTAGGTTTTCAATCAAATATTGTTGGTACTATGTCTTTTAAAGGTTTAATTGCTGAATTAACAAAGGGGAATGAATAATGTCATGTAGGTGGCGGTCAATCTTTGTTTTCCTATTAAGTTGTTTCATGATAACATACCATGTGCATTTCCAGAAACAAGTCTTCAAATCATGTTGAACATGGGTGCTGCATAAGGACTTTTTTGTTAATAATTTCTCCTACAGGTATCAGCCTGTATTTCAGTGTTGAATCAAGTTATAAATTTACACTGTAATAGAATGAGGAGTAGCTAGACAGGAATCCTTATGGATAGGACATGCTGGCTAATAGCAGCTCTAAATATTTTATAACTCTAAAGCCACATGTCCTCTTTGTATGGGTGGTAGGGATTGGGATTTAGGAGGAAAGTACTGAATTTACTATACCTTATCAGTTGTTGGCACTGGAGATCTTCAGAGATGTAACAAAATTAAGACGTGATCCTGAAATGCAGGCCCAATATCCCTGAGTCTCAAGAAACTGAATCAGTAAGGTATATAAGTTATGCACCCATTTTCAGTCTCTTTGTTTGCTTCACTTATAGCATCAGTCTCCAACCTTTACAGGCACAAGTAAAGCTGTGAATATGCACGTGCTCACAAACTGTTCCTGCAGCCCTTTTCTGAACAGATTATGGCTCAGTAGTGGATCACGGCCTGGAGGGTTGGGGACCCGACTTATAGGACATTGACTCCTAGTTTTGATACGCAAGTTTCAGGCTCAAATAATATGGTGAAACTAATCAATTTTTTAGTTCTTTATTACCTTTATTAAAATAAAAAGTCTACTGTTGTATTAGTGTTGAGTTTGAACTACCACCACATGCTGCAAAGCTGATTTGGCTTGGTAAACTTGTAAAAAATTCTCTCAATATTTATCCTATTGTATGGGATTAAATTCTAGTATTTACTATTCCCATATTAAATAAATATATATATATTCCATAATATTAGTATTACATAACTGCTACTGTGCTTCCCCCAAAATAAGACCTAACCAGAAAGTAAGCCCTAGCCCGATTTTTGTCTGCTCATAATATAAGCCCTACTCAAAAAATAAGCTCCAGTTAAGGTCATCAGCCAGGGATAGATGTGGGTGGGTATAGCCAGCACCAGAGGCAGCGAGGCATGCGGGCCAATGGTGTCTGGCAGCAGCTTTAGCCCGTGCAGCGCAGTTGAGTTGATTACCTGTCCAAGCAGCAGGCAGAGGCAGAGATGGAGAGGCATGTGATACAGACATGCCGTGCAGACCATGGGAAAGCCAAGGGTCAGTGGGCAGCTGCAGGATGCTCGTCTTTGCGTAGCGGCACTGACAGCAGATGATCCAAGGTCACCCAGCTAGCTTTGTACCTAAATGGGATTAGAATTTATACTTTCTAATCTGATACCTTAACCACTACACCAAACTAGGTCTCATGATTATTAAGGCTGGCTAATTAATTTCTTACCTGTACTAAAGAACATAATCAGTTATTTCTTGACAATAAGTACTTTGGAGAGAGTTAGAAAGTAATTTCAACTATATGTGATGTATAATATATTCAATTTTTAATGCAGTACACTAATGCTGGAATATGATATACTAGATGACCTCTGAACATCATTAGAATTCTGTATTATAATGTGTTATTAACTATGTTGCTAAAGTACAGAATTATCATATGTTTCCTCTTACATTATATAGAAAATCAAAAGTCCTGATCTTTTTTTTTTTGTAATTTATTATTGATGATATTTATTTATGAGGTATTTATCTGGTTGTTTTCTTTTGCTTTTGAAGGTTGACTTCAGGTCCAGAAAATACCCTCTTTCATTATATTTGTTTACAAACAATGCATGGAATTTTTATTACTCCAACACATGCTGAAGTAGCACAACTCAGTGGAACTATCCATCCACAGCTCATCAAGAACTTCCATCGCTGTTGTCTATCCATCCGTTCCATTTTTCAACAAACTATGCTGAGAGACGTATGTCCTTATATTTTGGGAAGGGGCATGGGAGAATTCTTTTGTTACAAACAACATTCTAGATATAACTGGGTAGATAGCTATTTCTTTAGACAAATTTCTACTTGTAAAAACTCCCCCTTCACTAGATATTTCAGACTTATCATATATTATGTGATGTTTTTTCTGTTATATTGCCAATTCATGTATTAATTTTGTTGCTCTTGCTTTACTGTAGAATAAAAAGTCTGGGAGAAGATCAAAATCTCAAAAAGCAAATTTGGATCTAAATCAAGTGAAAGAACATGGTATATTGTTTGAGTGTGCTCCTGACAGTTGTACTGACCAAAAGAAATCTGATTCCACTATAATGTACTGGGTAATCGGGTAAGTAATACTTTTTTAAAAATGTAGTGTAAAAACTTATTACTTGGTTGTCCAAATTCTCAGAACATTTTTGTTTAATAAAAACAACCTATATAATGGCTTTTTAGGTTCTTCCCAAATCCAACATTTGGTAGTAGATACTGTAGTTTACTAAAATGCAGCAAAGGCTAAATTCATACATAAATATACATAATGAACGTTTCAACAAACTCTACTGGACCTTTAGAATTGTGTCTTACTTTTATAATCTGTTTTAATCCTTTAGTAAACTCTTGCTAAAATATTGTTTTTAACATGTATTTTAATCCTGTGCTGACACTGAATTATATTTTTTCTGCAGGAGACTCTTCCTAGATCCAAAGCCTCGGGAGTTTTATGTTTGTTTTCATGATTCAGTCACAGAGGTTGCTGTTGAATTGGCTTTTAAGTTATCATTTGGCTTAGCTGTATAGATAAACATCTCTGCAGTTTTTCATTTTCCATGTCACAGAAAACACAGAAGTATCACATTGTGGTTTTGTTTGGGGTACCTTTTAAAATATTTCCTAAAATAAGTTATGTAATATTAAAAAAAATCATACATTTATATCACTATTTATAAAAGTCATTCCTTTCAAAAGAGTAGAAGTTGGATGAGTTATGGTATTATATATTAATTATATATTATATGTAAATATTACGTATAGAATCAATGATCAAGATATATACACAACCACATTTTTCCCTTAAAGCTATATCCTTGGAAGATACATCATGCAGTTAAAATACAGATTTCTATTATGTATGCGCCTTTTTGGTTTTAATTTAAAGAATGTAATGTAATGCTTGCATATTATGTCAGAGGTAGGGAACTGTTTTATTTCAATTTGGTATAGGGTTTAAGATCAAAATATGTGAATACCAAAACAAAGATTCAAAACTTCCGATGATCACAAAGATTTTATCAGAGACAGAGAAAAGAAATCTTAGTTCCTGCTGTCATCTAGTGATTGCCCACATTATGTAGTTCTTATCTAGTGGCCTTAACAAAATGGATTCCTTAATTCTTGCAGAAAATCTGTATGCAAATTCTTAGGGGAGGTAGTTTACCTTACATTAAATGTATATAGTACTTTGTGATACAAAAAGAAGTTATATTTATATTTGGAAAATACTTGTTATAAAGTAAAATTGAATGTTTCCTAATACTTTGAGATAAATTGAAGAATTGTCCATTTTATTTCAGACAACGTTATATGACTTTTTTACAATAAAGGAATATTCTTCAAATAGTCTTTTTCATTCTTTTTCATTTAATTTTTAACTAAACTATATATTTTTATGGGTTCATTATATTCCTGGTAAAGACGTGCTTTTTAATTATGCTACAATATAAAGAAATATCAGTCACATTGATATCAATAATTTCTTGAACATATAAACATACATTAGAGAACTATACTTGGCGCTAGATTTTTGAAAGTAAGGACCAAACTAGATGAACATCATAAATAACAATCATGGCTTGGTTTAGTGCATGAAGCCATAAATCAACTACAGTGGCTAAGCCAAAGACAACATACAGTATGTTCAGTATGATATGTAAGCCAGCCAAGGTAGGCTTTTTAAAGGACTTTTAAATCTGGACTCAGTGATTTTCCTATTACCGTCCCAATTCAGGAAAGTTTTCGTGCTTAGAATTTCTGTTGGGAAATTAATGTCTTCTTATGTAAATTAGAGACTTTACTGCAATGCCAACAGCAACAAGTCAATTGAGATTACAGAAACAAAATATAAATTTATTCCTATTACTAATTTAATGAACAGCATCTTGTCCAACATGGTCCTTGGAAGATTTCGTCAATCATTGAGAAATGGAAAACAAATATGAGTGGTCAGATGTAAACCTAACAAGTACCATATGCCAACAAGTACCATTTTCAGAATAAGAAAACCTCACTACTATAATCCTTTATTACTTCTACTTGAGCAGTAATCAGCTTCAATTGGTGTACCAGTGATTTTGTGATCCAGGAAATTCTTCAGAACAGAGATTCATGTATTTACTGCCAAACGATAATTGTAATGCACATTACTTGGGGGTGCCTTTGAAGATAATTCAGAAAATGCTTATTTAAAGAGCAATGGTATGGATGTTGGTAGATAGGAAACACTTTGCCAATATAAACCTATAGTTGCTGAATTGGTTGCCAAAAGCTTCCAGGTTTACTTCAAAATGTTTTTTTTTTCAATTTATAAACCTATGGCTCGTCATTACCTTTGGACAATTTATTCTGAATAGAATTTGCACATCCTGTGTAGTCATGCCAGGTATATATATTTAGGATTCCTATTCCACAAGAAGGAAATGGTGGTGCAAAGACTGATTTTGGCAGCAAATCAAATAGTATGGACCATTAACTTCTGAGGTGCAATTAGTTCTCACGTTGCTATTTTTTTTGTAAATCTAATTTTTTTTTTGAGATGGGTGATATCAACACACCAAAATTACCAAAAATGGTGATAAAAGGCTGCCTCAATTGTTTCCTTTTGTCTTCTGGAATTAGATTTCTAAAATTATTACTTGTGTTTATATGTTTTCTACGACTGGGTGATATGCAAAGTTCTAGTCTGTTATTCATTAAAATCTTTAACTATATTTTCCTATAGGTATTTGCTTTACTTATCTTCATCTTTTGACCTTTAAAAGGCAATACTATTTAATTCTATGGGGTGCTAACTGTAGTCAAACTGCTCTATTAGAAAGCTTTTATTCTGATTATTTGTGTTTTGTCTTGAATATGTATCCATATTTTTGTATTTTAATGCTACAAACTATTTTGACTGCTTTGGGGTTGGCAATATACAAATGTCTCCATAAATAAATAGTGATATTATACATTATAATTGACTCTCTCATGAATATAAGTATTCATTATAGGAGGAAACAGGAATGGCGTTCTGTATTTTCTTGCTGAAATTAATGTGATAAGCCTCCCATGTGCTTTTTTTAGTTGGCTAAATTTATATTATTCATGTGAAATGTGGATAAAAACTGAAAATCCTTCATAATTGTTGGTTGCATTAACTAAGTCTTTCCTGAGTCAAGTTCTTTTGCAGGCTTTCTTCCTTCATTTTAGGCCTCAGCTCACTATACTGATCTTAGCTCCATCTTCAAAAGCCCCAAACTTTCCTTTAAAAGGAAAAGGCAGGACATTTGCTGTGATTGGGTGCTTTTGCATCATGTGGCTTGAAAATGAAGGGTGGGGGAGGGGAAGGGAACTCCATTAGCTCTTTCCGAGCAGTGACAGTTAGAAGTGTTGCCTGGTGCTGGGTGATGCTGCTTGCAGGCCCTATTTCCACCAACAACTTTCTTTCTACCCAACTGACATCATGCAGGCTGCTGAGGGGCAGCAGCTTTTCGATCCTGTCTCATTTGGGAAGGACCTCATGATAGGTGGGGTGGCAGCTGCTATTTCCAAAACAACAGTAGCACCCATTGAACGGGTGAAGCTCCTGCTCCAGGTTCAGGCCTCCTCCAAGCAGATCCGTGCTGACCAGCAATACAAAGGCATGATAGATTGCATTGTACGCATTCCTCGGGAGCAAGGTATGTTAGCCCTAGAAATAGTTCCCCTTTCAAAGTTGTTGTGGCCAAAATCCCTGTTTTAAATCTTTCTCTCCCATGAACACAATAAATTTAAGGATTTTAGTTTTCTTTTAGATATGTTATTATTTATTAAATTTATTTGCCACCATCTATCCACAAGGCAACTCTTGAGCTGCAATTTAGCAGAACCCTTGACTACCAGCTACGTGAGTAGGACTTAAAAGTATGGTATTTACAGTAGGTAGTTGGTATTACTGTGTCTTATACAGCACCCAATCTGTGAACCGGGAGAGTGAAAATTATAGTAAAAACATCTAGCAAAACCTAGGTTACCTACACTTGCATGCCCTAATTCCATTTCTTCAAACTGCCCTAATTCCATTTCTCCAAGCTGCAATATAATAATCTTAGCCTAGTGCTGATGAATTAGTTTGAATGTATATGAATTCTTTAAACATCAGTTGTCTTATTGAAATAATTCTGAATATATCATAAGCTTACCTGCCAGTTTTCAATTGAATCTTTGCCATGAATGCATGGGATTGATTGCTGGTCTGTAATTATTGTAAATGCAGAAGCTATTGATAAAATTATAAATAATGATGTACTAAATTCTACAAATAACATTAATATAAATTTCCCATATGGATATACCATATGCATAAGGCCCACTGAGTAAGATAAAATTTACTGCCAAGTGCATGGGATTGTAACCTTTATTTTTTTATTATTTAGTAATTCCAGCCCTGATTTTTTTAGAAAACAACAGCTGTGTTTTCTTCCCTTTGTGATTAAATAGTTTAGGATCTTGATAACCTGTTAATTTTTCCAAAAAATCTAGTGACAGAATTAGCAGAATGTGAATTTATTCACTTTTAAATGTTACTTAGTATAATTTTTCCATTACAGAACTCAAGAAGAATATAACTTTTCAAGTAATATCTCCTAGCACATTTGTCTCTGCAAAATATCTTTTGCTCTCTGGAAATTTTTGTGACGTTCTGCCATTGTATGTGTCATGTGTATATGTATGATGTGGTCCAATATACTCAAGTTTTTAATGGCTTGTCCTTATGGTTTCATATTGGAGTGATGTTTTAAAATAATAAATCTAAAACTTTAGTAAATAATATCTAATATTTCATCAGCATTGTTGGAATATACTGAATTTGAAACTAATAATAAGGGTTTCTTTTCATGCCTAAGCCAATAAATTCTCTCCCCACTCCCATCTTTCTCTCTGTATATCTCTTATGTGGAATCTTTATGTAAGAATTAACATTCTGAATATTTAGATTGTGGTCTTAATTTAGTATGCAAACAGAAATCAATCAGACTAGGAATGAGGTGCTGCTGTTCGGAAGTAATTTGCAGCAGATCAAATCCAGTAACATTTTATGCGGAAAAAATACTGGAGTGCCATCAGATTTATATAGTTTAGAGATTTTAATCATTGTCGGACAACTAGGACTTGGAATAGCTAGTATGACAGACATTGTTATTCTGCTTGAATTTGTTGAATATAGTATTTTTTGAAAACTGGCAAACATAATTGGATGAGAGCTGCCTTTTTTTTTAGCTTGGCAATAAAGAATTATTAAGCATTCAAATATATAAAATGAAGTTTGATATTTTCAATCAATATTAATAAAATATATAATGAACAATGTTGTATATTAAATACTATCAAATGCTTCTTTAAAAACCTGTAATTTTAGAATGTAAGCAATTGCCACAATAAAGCAAACTTCCTTTTTACACATCAACTGCCAACAAAGAAGATTTACTTGTGGTCTTTAAATCCAAAATATTTACCTATACAAAAATGGTACTTGGATTTTAATAGCCACTCATTCTCAACTATTCTTCCCAGAGTTGGTCTAATTGGTCTAATCAGGCAGGAGGTAAGGAAGCTCAGAACCAATATGTTATCGTTTCCAAATCAAAAGGATTCATTTGGTTTCATAGACTTTATTTATATGATCTGCCCCTGCATACTATAGTAGATTTTTTAAGAAAAGCTAAAATTGATATTGGGAAACTTTTTGTCCCTTATAAATCTGTGGTATCTTTCTGTATTTATCCCTTTATCTCTGGTGTAACTCGATTTTTGTTTAAGCTAGGAGCAAATTATCCACTGGTGCCAATATTTATCTTCCATGGTGAATGCTTATGAAAGTGAGCTGAAACAAAATGGATTGTCACAGAAGCAAATATGCATCCTACAACTCTAAGCTTAGTAAAATCAGCTACACTACTGAAAACCATATGAATGTCATCACATAGAACTGTCTTCATTATAAATATTTAATCCTTACTGTGTCCAGGGCTTTGCCAAATTTGTGCTCATATTTAAGTTTAGAGCCAGGGCTTCCTAATATTGAGAACTACATGGAAGCTCTTGGTAGACTTATGGTATAAAGTACAGTAGTTAAACTGCATGGTTCAACAATAGTACTCCAGAAATTATTCATATTTTGGAAATATTACACTAATGTCGGTACCATCTTATCATTACAACATATGGATCAACTGATGATATTTTTCAATTCTAGTCAATTTGCCTTGCAGATTATAAAATTTATTGGGTTTTACAAAGGCTGTCAGCCTGTTTTTTTTTTTTTTCAGGAGACTTTTTGAGA